TGATTGAGTGGTGGGGGAGGGGTCGCAGCACCCCCCCGCCACCCACCATGCGCCCGCACACACACACACACACACACACACACACACACACACTCACACACACACACACACACACACACACTCTCTCTCTCTCACAAGTGCGCTGTCCGCGCGCCGGCGAGAGCGCCGTGGCGGCAGCGCACACACACAGACACACACAATCTTACAACCTTTCTTTCTCTCTCTCTCTCTCTCTCTCTYTCTCTCTCTCCCTCTCTCTCYCTCTCTCTCTCTCTCTCTCTCTCTCTCTCTCTCTCTCTCTCTCTCTCTCTCTCTCTYGCACACACACACACASACACACATGCGCACACACACACACACACACACACACACACACACACACACACACACACACACACACACTTGAAGTTTTTTCTTTATTTATTTTCAAATTTTGTATCTGCATTTTTTTTAAACACCTCATACCCATACAAAAGACAAAAATTCATTTCTAAAAAACGATAGGTAAACTCAGGGACCATATATCTCACGATAAAAAATGGGAAAAAAAAATCCAGCTTTTTTTTTTTTTTTTTTTTTTAAATCGAATTTAGTTTTTGATTTTTTAAAAATTCTAAACAAAGTCGGATTCCAAAAAACAAATATGGGGTTGTAGGGCTTTAAATTCCCTACAACTCCATATATTGTTTTTTTTTTAAAACCTATTATTTAATTCAGGAAAATTATGGTAAAATCGGGTCCGAGCCACGGCCCAGGTCGGCCGCGGATTAGGCCCCATCTGCGTCCGCCATCTGAGATCGGACCCGCGGACGCGTCCACGGGTGTTTCATAGTTTCCCAGTGCTGTCAGAGATCGCGGGCATCTCCTTATCTCTCTCTACATCTCCCGGGATCATCGCTGTGTCCGAGAGAGAGATATACAGAAACAAAAAATACGGAGGTAGGCGAACCTCGACTTCGCCAGGTCTGTTGATAGATATGGTTCGATGCGGCCCGATGACCAATGCAGGCTGTCGGACTGGATCGTGACAGTTCGACGACCAACATTGGTCATCGGGCCGCATCGAACCTTGGTTATCAACGAACCTCGCACACATTCATTTCGTCATGCAAGAATGTGTCTGCCGATGCAAGCATGTGTCTGCCATCGCGATTGCGAAGTGGGGTTCCGTCTGGTTTTCCCCATTTCCATCTATCTCTCTCTATCTCTTTCTTCATTTCTCTCTCCAGCTCTCTGTCAAACTCTCAGTCCCACATTCTCTTGAAGTCCGGATCCCGGCGGACTTAACATTTTCACATATCCTTTGATGTGGTTGTGGTCTTTCTGCTGCCCCGCGGATTTGAACAACAACACAAGTTCGCCGAATCCGACCTTCCGACGTCGGCCATATCTACCGCCAAACTTCATATGTCGCGAAATCGGACAGGAGAAGAAGTTCGGATTCCGGCGAACTTCGCATTTTCATATGTCCTTTGATGAGCCTGTGGATTTGGATAGCAACACAAGCATGGATCTTGTTGCTGTCCAAATCCATAGGCGCATCAGAGGACAGATGAATATGCGAAGTTCGCCGGAATCCGAACTTCTTCTGCTGTTCGACTTCGCCATATGTGAAGTCCACCGGGATCCAGACTTCAAGAGAATGTGGGACTGCGAGTTTGATAGAGAGTTGTCTCTCTCTCTCTCGCGCGTGCCCTCGTGAAGTTCGGATACCGGCGAACTTCGGGTTTCCACCTATTATACGATATATCTGCGGCCTTCCTGGTACCCTGTGGATTTAAACAACAACCAAGTCCGCCCGGATTCGAACTTCGCGTTATGCTGAAACTTCACATGTCGCGAAATCAGATAGCAGAAGAAGTTCGAATTCCGGCGAACTTCGCATTTTTATTTGTCCTCTAATGAACCTATGGATTTGGACAACAAAACAAGCATGAAGCTTGTCCAAATCCACAAACTCATAAGAGGACTGATGAAAATGCGAAGTTCGCCGGAATCCGAACTTCTTCTGCTGTCCGACTTCACGATATGTGAAGTCCGTCGGTATTCGGACTCAAGAGAATGTGGGACTGCGAGTTTGGCAGAGAGTTGTCTCTCTCTCTCTCGTGAACCCTCGTGAAGTTCGGATACCGGCGAACTTCGCGTTTCAACCTATTATACGATATGTATGCGGCCTTCCTGGTACCCCTTGGATTTAAACAACAACCAAGTCCGCCCGGATCCGAACTTCACGTTCTGTTGAAACGGGTTGACCGAGCATGCTTGCCCCAATCAGATCTTCGAACGTTGGCTGCATCCAATGCCAAACGTCACATATCGTGAAATCGGACAACATGAAAAGTGTGGATGCCAGCGGACCACGCATTTTCATCGACTCTCTCTTGTGACTGTGGTCTTCTTGGTGCCTCGTGGATTTCACCAACCACGCAAGTACGGATCATGTCTCTCTCTCTCTATCTCTCTCTCTCTTGCACACTCCTTAGGTTCGGATCCCGGCGAACTTCGCGTTTTCACATGTCTTTTGTTCTGACTGTGGTCTTTCTGGTGCCCCGTGGATTGCAACAAGAATCCAAGTTCGTCCGCATCCGAACTTCTCGTTTTGGCCTGGTGAGGTAACTGAAATTGTTCATCGAGTCCGACCTTCGAACATTGGCTGCATCCCGTGCCAAACTTTACATATTGTGAAACCAAACAGCAGGACAAGTTTGGATGCCGGCGGACTACGCATTTTCATCTTACCTCCAACGCGAATCTGGTTTTCCTGATGCGTTGTGCATTTCACCAAACGTGCAAGTACAAATCCTATCTCTCTCTCTCTCTATCTCTCTCTCGCACCCTCCTTAAGTTCGGATCCCGACGAACTTCGCGTTTTCACGTGTCCTTTGATCTAACTGCGGTCTTCCTGGTGCCCCTTGGGTTGCAACAAGAACCCCAGTTCGTCGGGATCCGAACTTCTCGTTTTGCCCTGACAGGGTAACCGAAATGGTTTATCGAGTCCGACCTTCGAACGTTGGTTGCATTCGGTGCCAAACTTTACATATTGTGAAACTGAACAGCAGAACAAGTTAGGATGCCGGCGGACTATGTGTTTTCATCTTACCTCCAACGTGACTCTGGTTTTCCTGCTGCGTTGTGCATTTCACCAAACGTGCAAGTACAGATCCTATCTCTCTTTCTCTATCTCTCTCTCGCACCCTCCTTAAGTTCGGATCCCGGTGAACTTCGCGTTTTCACATGTCCTTTAATCTAACTGCGGTGTTCCTGGTGCCCCTTGGGTTGCAACAAGAACCCCAGTTCGTCAGGATCCGAACTTCTCGTTTTGCCCTGGCGGGGAAACCGAAATGGTTCATCGAGCCCGACCTTCGAACGTTGGCTGCATCCGCTGCCAAACTTCACATATTGCGAAACCAGACATCAGAACAAGTGTGGATGCCGGCGGACTACGCATTTTCATCTGACCTCCGTCGTGCGTATGGATTCCTGCTTCTTCTTGGGTTTCAATAACCACACAAGTGCGGATCCTGTCTCTCTCTCTCTCTCGCAGCCTCCTTAAGTTCGGATCCTGGCGAACTTCGCATTTTTGCCTATCCATTGAACTGACCGTGGTCTTCCTGATCCTCCGTGGATTGCAACAACAGCCCGAGTTCCACCGAATCCGGACTTCTCATTCTGCGCGAATAGGGTCACAGAACATGCTTGCCCGGGTTCGACGTTCAAACTCGGCTGCGTCCGCTGCCGAACTTCACATATCGCCAAATCGGACAGTAAAAGAAGTTTGGATGCCGCTCATGCCGACGTACGTCTCAATTTTCAACTGACCTCTGATGTGAGTGTGGACTTCCTGGTTCCTCGTGGAGTTCACGTTTTCTGCTGTTCTTTTGTCTGTCTATGGTCTTCCTCGTGCCCCGTGGATCGGAGAAAAACAACCGAAGTTTGCCCGCGTCCGAACTTCTTGTTTTGCCCAAAAGCAGTGACCGAATGTGCTTGCATGAGTACGACCTACGAACGTTGGCTGCAACGGTTACCGAAGGCGATCATCTACTGGCCACAAATCGTGGTCCGACCACGCAAAGTCGAAATGGTTCGTCGACTGGTGTTGTGGAGACACTTCCAACCCCGTTGCGCAGCCATGTGGTCTTGTCATCTTCTTCGATGACAACAAACGGCGTAAAGTGTTTAGGGGAGTCTTGCGGTGGGAGGACGCGAAGGGGGGACGACGACGATTCTATATGCAAAAGGTTTACTACGCCAAGGGTAGCGCCGCTGTTGGATGTGGAATTGTTTGAGGGGTTCGGAGCGGGTGTTGTGAACACCCCGTTCTACAGCGAACTCGTTTGCGCGGGTAGTTTTGTTTTGGCACGTGAAATTTTTAACTTGTTGGGGAAAAAAACATCATCCTCGACGTCCCCTACTACGTCGGCCCCTTCCAAAGGCTCTCGTTGCCATTGCGACTGTGCAGCGGTTGCGAATCCAGCGGGGCGGCGCCGGAGGGGGGAGATCAGGGTTCTGGTGCTGCTACTCAGCTGCATCGTGGCGAGAGTTGTGGTCATTTCAACGACAGCGAGGATGAGGAGCCTCCGCAGATGACGACTTCGCCGTTGAGGCGAAGAGACCGGTCTGTGCTGTCTATACCAGGGGTCCTAGATGACGCTCCGGTTCGAGAGGAGCGTGTGGCAGCTACATCAAAGGTGGCAGTCTCTTCAGAGGTCGACTTGGAGACTAGCGAGGGTCAGGGTACGAAGGAGGGAACCGCGGGTGTCCAAGGCAATCTAGGCACTCCGCAAAAGAGGAGGGGAGATCGTCATAACGGGTTGGCCGGCTCATCGAAGAATTGAAGAGCAAGGCCCCGAGGACCGCGGGGGAGAAACGGAAGGGAACCAAGGGGGAGCAGGGCCGGCCAGGAACCAAACGTCCGGCCTCGAAACAAAAGCAGCCTGCGTCTGGACCGTCCTTTCCACCGATGCCACGGCCTCCCATCGACGTCGACGTCGGGTACTTCCTCGAGTACAAAGACGGCGTTAGGACAAAGCGGGAGTTCGAGATTAGCCCTATGCAGGTCGTCGACCTCGGGGACTGGGAGGATCTGTACAACCAGCGGTCCCTGGATCCCGTCCTCGTTGAAGGGATCAAAGAAGCGATGCTCTTGGCGTTCGAAAACAAAGAGCAGTCGTATGAGTTGCCAACCCTGAAGCTGGCACCGTTGGGGATGCATAAACCAACTCTTGGGAACAAGGCACAATGTTTGAAGCCTGAGGAATGGAGGGACGAGTTGGAGGGACAATACTACTACTACACGGTGTGTGGACAACACAACGCGGCTGCAGCTAGGTCGTTGCTCGGTAGCGATGTGGCCAAGAAATACAATTTCGAGCAGTGACCGACATGAATGGCGTACTTTTCGGACGACGACTTAGAAGGGTATTTCCTTGTCAATTCCCAAGACAACAGGAAGGACCTCAAGGCGCCACCAAGATAGTTGAAGCTGTCAATGAAAGACATTCGGTGGCAGTGAAAGCACAACGGTTTCCCGAGAGCTGTTATGGGGAAGCCCAGCGGAAAACAGGAACCGGTCCGGAAATGGCGTGAATTCTGTACGGTGGCGCTCCATAAGACGTTGTACAACAACTTATGGATTATGGCGGATCAGAAGGGGGATGACACAATCAAGAAGCAAAACGCTGCCTTGCGTTCCTATTTCCCTCTGGCTGTGGACGGAGAGAACGTCTGGAAACTGGTCGTTGAATTGTTCGAGAGATGGGAGACAGGTAGATTGCTCGGCCACGACGAAGAAAAGTGGATCGTGAGAAAGAAGAAGGTCAGAAACGTAAAGCACGTGGTTGCCTACATCGACAATGAAAAGCTAGGAAGGAAGGAGGTCGTGTACAACGTCCTTGTGAACCCGCCGACGAGGAAATGCAAAAACGAGAAAGAGGAGGGCGATTGGTTAGCGCAAGTGCCTGAGCCGGACACACATTGTTGGAAAGCGATGGAATCGCTAACCGACAACGAGAAGTGTCATGTCCTGAAGAAGGTGCTCGCTTGCGAGATGGATTGGGTCCAAGTCGGCTCCCCGGCGTTGGCGAAGCTGGGGAAGCTCAGCGTGCAGGATATGGTGCATTTGGTGAAGTGCGACCCCGTGCTCGTACGTTTGTGTAATTACTACTAGTTCAAGCACGAGAGGACGCCGGATGCAGATTGGATCCAGAGGTACCCGTTCCTGAAAACAAGGTCCACAATTTTCAATCAGTTCGAAAGCCGTGGATTGGATGCTGAGTTGTGGGACGGTAGCAGGAAATACGTTACGGACTCCTCGCTGTTCAAGGAGCGCTAACCTTACATGGGTTGTGACGACGATTATCTCATTGAAGCGACGGAGAAGTTGGCCAGTCACATGAAGGTGACCATCGACTGGAGAAACAAGGTTTTTTCCGCGTTGACTGGCAGTAGACTGACTCGGAAGAGTCGCGAGATCGCTCTTGCCGAAGGCATTGTGCACATAAAATGGAAAGACACGGGCGACGTGACATCCATCGCACCGTTCGGCAACGACCCTTTGGAGGCGGACATCAGGAGTGCGGAGCTGAAGGAGGCGGTGGCTGCCACAGAGAGCCACACGTTCGTCCTCGACCTCTGCGAACCGGTTGACCTGAAGCTGTGGAAACCACAAGCGTTCGATACTCTGCATTCCCAACTTCAGACGTGGTATCCGTCGCATTGGACGCTCGTCGTTTTCGTGCCGCGACAGCATAACCTCTCGTTTATGGCCAGTATGAACCATCTTTCTTTCGTGAAGCTCCTGGAAGGTAAGTGGGTGAGGAGAACTCAGGAGAAGAAAAGTTTCCCTGTCGGAAACAATTTGTACACGGAAGACGACCGGATTTACATCCTCTTCAAGGGTGACGCTTTGCACGCTAACACGTTCGTCGTTTACGAGGTATGGCTGCCGGCAGGTGCCGCTGCTGCAGTGCGGTTGCCACAGAAGGTTACCCAAACGGATGTGTTCGAGATTCCGTTCACGCCTTGTGAGTAGTCGCAGACCTCGCTTGCACGTCAGGGCAGTGTGTACGGGGACATGGAACGCAATCCCACCCAATTCGTTAATCTTCTCGAATACATCAGCAAGAAGGGAGAGGGTGTCGTCTTCCTTGGAAAGCCGCACGTGCGAATCGTGTGGGAACTACTGAAGGCAGGTCGGCACGTTGTCACGATGGAAGGGAACTCCAACGTTTTGCAATGCGCGATGCAACTTATCAAAAGCGAGATCAATTTGGGGCCCACAATTGCGAGTTCATGGTCGTGAAGGAGACACGGGGTCGTATGTGGAACAACAAGACGGACATGTGGTTCAAGTTGAGTGAGAGGAAGCGGAACAAGATATACGACTTCTTGTTCCTGCAAACGCGGCTGAGGAAGGATACTGACGCCGAGTATGTGCGCCGCAGGGACCACAGGTTCGCGCTGCTAGACAACTACCACAGCGTCTCCCTCATAAAGTTTAACGCGAAGACATTTCTCGAAAGGTTGCAGTCCTTGTACTTCGTGGAGTCAGAGGAGGAGTTGAAGTTTGACAGTTACTCTTCGTTCATCTCCATGGAAGACGAGGAAACCACAGGCGTCGAATTTGACGTGAACGAGAACGAGGAGCACAAGCGGTTATTGGGTAGATGAAAATTCATGAATGAAAATTATGAAGTGAGAGTTTTGGGCAGTCTGAAAATCCCGAATGGTCCTGAAGTGGTGAATGGTCCGAAGACCCTGAAAACCACCTGTTTAGGCAGGCTGCATCTTGAAGTGGTGAAGGGTGTCCTGAAGTGGTCAAGTGAGAGTTTTGGGCAGTTTGAAAAATCCAAAATGGTCTTGAAGTGGTGAAAGGTCCGAAGACCCTGAAAACCACCCTTTAACACTTGAGGACGCAGCCTGCCTAAACAAGTGGTTTTTAGGGTCTTCGAAACTTTCACTACTTCAGACCTGAATGGTCCTGAAGTGGTGAAAGCTCCGAAGACCCTGAAAACCACCTGTTTAGCTAGGCTACATCGTGAAGTGGTGAAGGGTGTCCTGAAGTGTTGATGAAAAATACGACTGTTGTTAACCTTCTCTCACGAGGAGGAGAGCGACATCGAGAGCCTCGACCCGCAGTACGACCCACCTCCCGCACAGCACGCCCCAGGGTCGTCGTTGGCAGGTCCGTCAACAAGCCCGACATCCCTCGTGTCACCGATGGTGAAACCGGCGCCTGACACAACCCCGATGAAGTTGCTGGAGAGACTGAAAGCTCTCGTCGTCACCCATCTCACATTGCGTCCTGGGTCTGATATCCCGCCCGATCATTTGTCTTGGAAGGATGACAACATTCACTTCCTTGCTGAGCCGCAAAGTCATTCGCTTGAGGTGGACTGGGGCCATGACATGATTTGGCATCCAGGAGTCATCCAGCCGGCGATCCAAAAGGGCGAGTGGGTCGTGGCCGTCGCTTTCTCAGGCAGAGGATGGATGCCTCTCCCTCACGAGTCGAAGTCAAACCTCCTGGACCTCGCCAGAATTTCGGTCCTTTAAAAAGTGAGGGTCGAAAATGACTCGTTTGCATTCGACGACGTGTCCGTCATTTCCACAGTCGGGCGACTGTATGACAAGTGCTGGTTGGAACTGGCGGAGTACCACGCACTCGATACGAGTCCCTCGAAGGGCATGGTGGACTGGAAAATTCCCCCTCCCAGTTGGGCACACGGGAGTTCCGGGGCCTGGGCACCAGATAGTGGGGGGGACGGAGGCGACAATGTGGGGGGTGGCACAAGAGTCCCGCCTGGTGGGGAGGGAGAGCCTCACTGCGACACAGCGCCAACGGAAGGCAGTGGTGGTGTTGCGAAGGAGGCCTTCGGTAGTCTACAGTCTACTGGTCCCGGTCTAGAGGACTCGACACAGTCCGTCGACGTGCCTACTTCGTCCGTCGGCTCGGTGAGAGAGATGATGGCAGCCTCGGTTGGTCTCCGTGGTGGCTCGGGCGGAACGTTCAAGTCCGCCGAGATCTGAACTACAATGGTTGAGCTGCCGACACAGTGGTCGGCCGCGCAGAGCTGGTCGGAAGTGAGGGTGCCGAGTCATGATCCTACAATTGACAGTGGTGCGGGGAGGGACGGGAATGCGCCGCCTGAGGGGGAGCGACGACCGCTTCGCTTGGACCGAGAGGGTACAAGTGGAGGGCCCGACGACTGGGAGACAATGAATTTCGCTGACATCCGAACTTCTTCAGGCAGGGGGGGGCAACCAGGGATTATAGTGCCGGCGGGAGGGGCAGCGTGCGTGGAGCCACAAGCCCGGTCGTCGGAATTTGACAAGGGTTTGGGAGAAGTGGATGGATTGCATGCAAGGGAAGGAAGGGGGGTAATGGAGGAAGGGGAGGACGGGGAGGAAGGGGAGGAAGGGGAGGAAGGGGAGGAAGGAGAGGAAGGGGAGGAAGGGGAGTAAGGAAAGGAGGAAGAAGAGGAGGAAGAAGGGGATGAAGGGGAGGAAGAAAAGGAGGAAGGGAAGAAAGGAGAGGAAGGGGGAGAAACGGAGTTGAGTGAGTTGTTTGAAGGAAAGAGGGGGCAAAAGGGGACGTCGATATTGGAGACGACGAATGGACAATGAGTGACGATGATGCCGAATGTGGGGAGTTCTCTGATGGATTCGGGCTGCTGTACGCAGAATATCGTAAGGATGAAGACGACGACGATGCGACAGCAATGGAGATGGAGACACGGGTGGTCAGCAACCTTTCGGCATAACGTGATGACTATGACGTCCAAGCACTGACGTCTGTCGTCGATCTCCAACACCGGCTTAACGAGGCTCCTGTTGTTGTGAGCCTATCTAAACCGAGTGGTTGTATAGACGTCGAAGAAGTTATCGATGGCATCTGAGGTGACCACCACGTGTCCGCGCAGACGTTCACAACGCCTAATGTCGACGACCCTCGAAACGTCAAACCTTCCGCGGCATCTGCCATCACTTTCTCGCCGCCGAACTCTACGATACTGCCGGTGACCATCCCCAGTGAAGGGGAAGGTGGGCTTGGGGGACGACAACATGTCACGTCCCTAAAAAAATCTAGGGTCGGGACTCAAGCTCTCGATGTGCTAACCTTGCTCGCGCCAACTTCACTGACGAAGGAGTGGAGGGACAAACCGGCCGGTAAGCTGTGAGAAACGCCACTCTATCTGCGCGCCCAGGCTTCCAAGAGCGAGAGTGCGGCTTCCTCCCTAGTCCGGATGTCGGCGGACTACCTTCAGTACCATACACACAAGGAGTGACCACAGTGTCTGTCGATGCGGGGAGTTCTTGATGCCGACATGCTACAGCCACCACTCCTTCCAAGTACATGTGATCGACCTTCCTGTGAGTCGGCCAGGTTGCTGGTCGCGTGCAGGGCATACTACAACAAAAACATGTGTGTTTTTGTTGAAGCCTTCCCTCACAAAATGGAGTGGCGATTTTTCTTTCTCGGAAAGAGTGGTGGCTTTAGTCCGCCGGGATCCGCACTTCCAATACCGATGCGTGATGCCGTTAGTCTTTATGTGCCTAGATTAGAAAAAAGTTTGTCGGAATCAGGACTTCGGGGATGTTTGGTTTCCGCTTCTGTGTCTTGTTGTGATTTTCCTTTCCGAAGGGCGGGAGTGTCGAATTCGAATGCGCTAGTCGTTTTGTTTTCCAGCCGCGCTCACGCACCTCGGTGCTCATGATCATAACAAAACGGGGTTCTGTAATTGGATAGGTCATATGTCTTCTAGATTACATGATTCTCAAATTGTCACTTTCGTCCGGTTCGTGTTTGGAAACGTGTATTCATTTTTCGTTTTGCCTTTCTCCTGTTGTTTAGGGGTAGGGTCATCTCGAACACGAAGGTCCTCAAAATATCCGGAACACATATTGCAGATAGTCCCGGAGTTGACGACAAAACACATGGTTATGTTAAAGGCATCAAGGGTTGATGTCGAGATCGGGAAGAAAGAGCATGCCATTGCCATTGAGGAGTGTCTTTCCCTTCTGCCCCCAGAGAAAGGGACATATGCACGATCTGTGACTGGGGGTCATGCCATGTATGAGAAATACTTAGCTACTCGTCGTGCAATGAAGGATAATCCTTAGAACTTCGTTTCTCACTACCCTGTGTGTCCTTTGCTCGATGTTGTGCAGTGCGGGCCACGACACCTGGAACACGCGGGGGAAGATTCGCTGCAGTGAGTGCACCTCGAAGCTTGCGGGTTTGGACTACATTAAACGAGGCTCGGTGCCACCTAACATTGTTGTCTCTACCCTTGGCAATGGTCAGTTACGAATTGCAGCAAAAAATTTTATCACCCTCTCGCATATCGATGGCAGGGTGAATGATGAGGTGGTCAATTTTTACATGGCGCTATTGGGGACGACCGCATATGCAATATGTGACATCCCGTCAGGCCTTCCAGTCTTCAACTTTAATTCGTTCTTTTTCTATAAATTGCAACTGAACACGGCGGGGTGGAAAGGTGAGCTAAAAACGTGGATCTGCTTTAATATGATATTATATTTGTTCCTGTCCACAAAGATAATGATCACTGGATCCTCCTTTCCGTCAACTTAAGAGATAATGTTCTTGAAATTTTCGATTTTTTTCGCGTTATAGCCGATTCTAGTTTTTACCTTAGTGTTTTCGAGTTGATTGTACAGTATTTGGAACGTCAAACATTACATAGGCGATCCGGTAGGAGTTGGAAGTCGGTAGCAACAAATGTTGTGATGGAGGGAGTTCCAAGACAAGTGGATGGAGTTAGTTGCGGGGTGTTTATGTTGATGTTTGCGACACTGTTGCAACGTGGTGATCGACCGCCTTTGAGGTTCTTTTCTAAAGATATTCCGCTTATTAGAAGACAATTGGCATTATGCATCTTAGAATGTCGTTGTCTTTGATGAATTTCATTGACTTAGAGACTTTCCTTTGAAAACATTTAATGTATTAATTATTATATTTTTTTAAATCCTGATATTACTCAACTATCATTTTCACCACGCCATTTCTTTCTTTTGTCGCAACAAGTTTGAGTTGTCTTTGGGATGCTCACTGTAAATCTCGAGTCATGTCTTGACTTTCGAATCTCTGTCACGTCCCAGTCCTCTGTCATGCAGCGGAGTAAGTGCGCATTGTCTTCCTTGTTTCAAATCGTGTTTGGGTCAACCAAAAGTGTACATATGGTTGACATCAAATACTATCAATAATAGTATTGTACGCAGCGAAAATTGGTGTGTGGATGCAAGACAAATCTCGGCGAGTGTTTGAGTGTGCGGTTTATTATGCAAAGAGTGTCAAAAAACACTAACATCACGTCTCTTGTATGCGCATACAATTATACGCCTTAGGACCGCCTGCATTACGTGGAACCAATAGATTTCCGTTTGTACCAAAGCCTTTTGCGCATGGTCAATTAAAGAGTGGAGTCGATAAAAAATATGCAAAATTTTAAGTTCTTATGTGATATGACAAGTGTTGTCGCAGGAAGCGAACTGGTATGTCGAAATTGACTGCTTGTTACAATACAAACGGTGAACATTTTGAGTTGTACTTCGACTACTGCTGTAACTGCTCGTCTCTCATGCGGCGGAGCAAGCGCACATTGTGTTCCTTGTTTCAAATTGTATTCAGGTCAACCAAAAGTGTACATATGATTGACATCAAATACTATCAATA